GAGGGGTGGGGGGTTATGTAGCACGAAGGGAAGGCATCTGACATGGTAAGTGAAATTGTCTACATCAGATCCGGCCCCAGAGCAGGGAGGGGAGGCCCAGGGAGGCTGCAGAGGGCAGAGCGGATGACGGGAGGGGAGCAGAGAGCCACGTGGTGATTGAAAGCAGCTGTTGGTGGGAGAGACTAGGTGGCCGGCCCCACTGCACCAGCCCTGCCCTCTGGCTTTTTAGGGACCTGAGGTCAGCTCTCAGTTGCAGTTGAGGCTCCAGAGAGCCGGCAGGGAGGGGCGGACGCTGGAGTAAGCCCAGGACCATGGGGCGTCTGGGGACAGAAAGGTTTCCAGCCCACATTAGCCTTGCACCCTCTGATGGAGTTCTCTGTGCCGTAGCTGACACAACCACAGCAAGGGCAGAGTCTACAACCAGAGGCTCTGCCCTTCCCCCAGCCTGACCAACCTTGTAATGTTACCACGGGCCCAACCCTCATTAAACTGTCATGCGCTCTGAGTTTGGGCCTTAAAAGTATTAAATGGGGGTTTGCTTTCATCTGACCCATTTTGCAGTTCCCATGGCTCAGCTGTTTTGGATGCTGAGTCATGCAGTGGCAGCCAGCCCCAAGATCCCAGGGCTCCTCTGAGGTCCTCTCGATGATTGCCCCATTGCTGAGACAATGGATCTCAAATTTGAAAGTGCAGAAGACAGGCCACTTCAAAAATCAGATTCCTGGGATCCTGGTCCCAGAGGATCATATTCGATGGGTTGGGTGGGGCCCAGAAATCCTCATTTTTTTTAAAAAAAGATGACCAGTAAGGGGATCTTAACCCTTGATATGGTGTTGTCAGCACCACACTCTCCCAAGTGAGCCAGGGGCCGGCCCTGGAAATCCTAATTTTTAACAAGCCATCCAGATGATTCTGAGAGCCTCACAGTCTGCAGACTACCATGCAAAGCTCCACTCCATGAAGAACCAACCTGGGGTCTTCTGTACATATTCTCTCTGAGGCTCTGTGACTTTCATGCGA